TTTGGCTTCACCTTATTCCCGTGTTCCACAGACAAGCTATTAACAACTGAAGCGACACCACCATGAACTATCTGGAAATGTTTCGTGTCGCAATTTCTCATACAAAATGCGTGTTTATGTGTCGGAAATGACACTACGGTTCTCCTTGCATAGGGGACAGTGGCTCATCCCGCTTTCCCTGAAACATATATGTTCTAGGTGTATGCGATCCCGACTCAGGTTGTCAGACCGAACATAACTGCAGATCCAGTTGAAGCTGTCGAGGAGACGAAGTACGGTTCTTCAGTCTCATGCTATATGTCGACTGGTGCGGTTGGCTCGTGGGCGCTTTCCTGTAGTACCGAATATGTTGTGATGGGTGGCGCGGAATGTGTTGGAAGGGGAGCGCCGAGGATGTAGTTCAAAAGAAGAGGGGCAGTGTGCTGCTTTTTTATGTGACTACCTGATGTTTGGCGGTCACTTTAGATTTTGTCCAGCAGCTGTACATTTGGGCTGGTCTTCGGGCCACACTCAGGACCCCATTTGCCCTGTCGTCTTCGGAATACATGTATTCAACCTCACCTACGCTTCTTTTCCAATTTCGTTTAAAGCCTTGAGACGCTACATGTATTCTGAAGACGACAGGACAAATGAGCTTGAGCATGTCCCGAAGGCCAGCCCACCTGCACAAAGGCCAGACAAATCCAAAAGTGACCACCAAACGTCATTTTTACATCAACAATGTATTGCATTGACTATTAGATAAATTATTTATGAGATTATGTTTTAGCCACAGTAAATTTCAAAGGTTCCTAGCCTTGCCGCTTCTAAAACCATGAACATTTATTTGTACACTATTCTTTGCAAACGTATTTTAAACAGTTTGAGATGTAAATCCTTACAAGTAAAATTTATTATTGAAAGATAATTGATATACTTACGCTATTTTTTAAGATCTCATGATTTAAACATTGTTTCGTGTTTTATTTACCGTTCATGCAAGCGAGATGTTCGGTTTCCAAAGTTAGGCCAATAGCATCATCCTTTAGATAAATAAAATTGTAAGTGCCCTAATGGCACTAGAAGTACCTGGAGCTCTCGGTTATCTGCTTTCATGGGTACTTTGCTTAATATCATCACGCTGCGCTAGGTGAAGGAGTTCGAATTCGTTGACCAGGACCTGAAGTTTGACGATCTATGTGATGGCGTTATTTTGTCCAAGATTCTGGTTTCTGTGTAGGTCAATCTGTACAATCCATTCATAGGTAGGTTTCAGTTCTCCTTGTTCATTCACAACATCGTGGCGGTCAAGAATCAGACTGGGCGATAACATCAGTTCTGCACAGAAGGTAAGTTGATGCATCTGCGCATCTTTAGGTAGTATTTTGCGTTGTACCCTATTTTTTTACATTCTCTACAATTAACTTTGTATGTTCTTGTAACCGAAATTCTCCATTTTTTAGTGTTTTAATCTGAATCACATTGTTGGAGCCATTTCTCAGTTTTTCGACTCCGTACGTCCCTCTATTAATCCTCATATTGTTCTCATGCTCCTCCATAATCCTTCTCTTTATCTCCAGGTTATTGGGCAGCATCTGGCTATTTTTCAGTTGCCCAACGTCAGTTTGATAGGTCAGTCTCTAGTTCACTTTTTGTGTTCCTCGAATTTCCTCTCTAACTAAAGTTTCTTCTACAGCTGAAAAGAATGATGCGGGGGAACTTTTCCGTCTCCTTCAGCTGGTCATTTGCTGCGCCGTTAATGGCGAGAACAAGGAAAAGTACATTCAAGCTATTCTTAACATGGAGCGCGCTGTTCAACAGGCCATCATGGAGTCTGTTCAGGAGGTTTGTGCCACCTTTCTTTTACCGTCTGAATGAGTTATTCATTGAGTACTGAATCAGTACTCTCTGGCACCTCTGCACTGGATCATTCACGCACGCCGTTCACACCTTTTACCTGATTGGTTGCGTTCTTATCGCTAGATGATCTAGTGTTACTCGCTCTCGTCTTCACTGTTGTAATTCGTTCTGCCTGCAAGTGTGCCGCCTTAGCTAGCCAAGTCAATTTTTGCCAGATGGGTTTACTCGGTGATTTCTTAACACATTTTAGGTCATGAACGAGATCTTCGTAAAAGGGGACGAGCTATCATTGATGAGTAAGGTGAGGAACCTTGTGTTTATCATGGAGCTTTGGCTTGCAAGTCCTTCTTTACTTGCTCAGATACTGAGTCATATTCCTCCCTTTCATGTTTATGCTAGCCTTTTTTACAAGTCAGTGAACGTCGACTATTTTTGCAGAGAAGAAATTGCAGTCTTTGTAAATGATTGGTGCAGATTTCAAGGCAATCATGCTGGCATATGACGTAAAAGAAGTCTAGGTATTCGACTTTAATAATCCAGGAGCTGAAAAGCATTATCACACTCGATACGTGTCCAGTTGGCTTTCGCATCATTTCTGCGTGGATGCGGATAGCCGTTATTTCTTGTAGTTTTAATGGAGTAAGGCAAACGAGACACTCGGAGTGCCCTCATCTGAATTTAGTGAGATTCCAGGAAATTTGCCCACTTTTCGGTTTCTGTCTATAGAGCGATCGGGATGACGTCTACGCTCGAAACTGCCACCAGCTTGAAGCAAGGGTACGTAAAGTACTGTATTACTTGTCGATCTTCACGTTCAGCCGGTGTAGCACTAAAGGAGCCAGTTGTTTCGGGCGCTGCTAGCATATTGAATGCTATTAAGGACCCAGCATAGCGACCGTAAACGTAATTGAGTTTCATCATTCCTGTTGCACCATAGTTATAACCTCACCTTAAAGATGCTTCAAGCGATGCTGCAAGCTATTATGTACCAGTTAAGGAGGGCCATGGGGTAGTCTTCATTCTCTTTTGAGATGCCTTTTTTACTTTACCGTCTGCCAAGTCTCAAAATCCCTAGCCTGTTTATTAAATTGTCTGTAGAAGTCCACAGTGGATATCGTCCACTTGGCGAGATAGAGAATAGAGTGGAAGAAGCATGTCTCTACCACGGGGGCACTTGAGCAAATTACTGCCTCACTAACGAGATATAAAGTCCGATATAGGGCAGGTTTTCGGCTTGAAGTGCTTTCAGAATGTTCATAAATGGCTTAGTGATGCGTGCTAATGTGTACATTTGCCGCTCCCTCAAATTGCTCTTTAATTATCGCACCAAATTTGACCTCTTAGAAAGTGCAAGAGTGGAAACTAGAAGCAACGGTAATTAAATGCACGCCTTGTAGGGAAGTCACTGTCGAGTCTATCCAAAATGCAGCAGTCACTAGTGTCGCTACTTTACTCTTTTCCAGATTTCGCAACTGGAGACGGAGAAGGCGGCGTCAGAAGCGGAGTTGGAAGACGCACTTCGAAAAATTGCACTCCTCGAGGAGCGCAACGGTGGTGGCGGTAGCGGTAGTGGCGGCAATAAAGCGACAGGCTTAGTAGCCGCTACGCTACAGCTCCATCAACTGCAAGGGAAATTGCACAGTGCGCAAGAGGAACTGTTTCAATCTGAGGCTGGTTAGTACTAGCATAGGAAACTGAATCTACTTTTCTCACGCATTCTTCCTCTCGTGAAATTTGTAATTTTCCCTGTACCACGAATTTTAGAGTCCCAGGAAGCGAAACTTAGACTGTCTGAGGCCCTAAAAACCATCGAGGATCTGCGCAAAACGGTAAGTGCCTTCTCATTGGGATCCAAACAAAGACTGGTATCTCAACTGAAATAGCTGCTCTTTTCTGTGAATACCCTATAATACGGTCCATACTTTCGACTCTTGTTTCGTAACTAAAAATTAAGTAAAACTGGCTTGACAAAGAATGAAGATGAGATTCCCTTCGCTCCACGTAGTATTGGTGGGAATTCATGTGACGCCTGAGTGTCTAACCGTCTTGAGCATTGAAAAAAGACACTAGGGCTTGTGCTTTTTCAAGGGCGAATTCTTTTTAATCAGTAGCCTTTCTGGGCCAGGCTTGTGGCGTCATTCATAATAGTTTGGTGTTTGCTCAAAGGAATAGTTATTGCTTGTGCCTTTTGTAATACCCGTACAGTGTATTGTACTGGAACCTGTTTTCTTCACAAATCTATTCATCCACTTATTAGTGACCCAGTAAATAAACTATAAATCCACTTAAGCGCAGGAAGTTTGTTGTCTGTATACTTATTCTTACTATCAAGCCTTTGATGATTCCTTAACCTTGTGGCTAACCCATTCACGCATTTCCACTTACTTATTGAGTACTTATTGAGTAGGTAGAATAGCAAACCAAATGCTTCCGTCTTTTCTCGTGAAGAGGAGCTAACCTATTGTGCTAGAACTCATACTCAAACGAATCATATCCAAACTCTGTTCATGTTTATCCACATTCATTTACTCCGAACTTATATTAAGTAACTCCAAAACTTAAAGGTTTGTTGGTACCATAGAAGTATTTTAGGCCACTCCGCGATGCAGGAAAGGAAATGACTTATTTAATTTTCCTTTGTCCGCTCCAAATATCGGCATGAGTGAGGCACACTTGACACCGCTGCGTGAGGTATGGCATTCTCTTGCAGAACGAGACGCTGGCTCGCGAGGTGTCAGGATTCGCTCATTTCAAGGACGAGTTGGATATCGCACGGGAGGATCTGCAGACAGCCAACCGCCAGGTCTCGGCACTGGAGCAATGGAAGAAACGGCGTGCTGAAGAGATGGTAGCGTTACGTGTGCGTTGTGCGAAATTGGAGGAGAATAATGCAGCCTATCTGCAGGCTCTCGATGAGCTCAAGCAGGTTGGTTGTTCAGCCTTTCGTTAACTGCCATCACGTCGTGCTAACTCCTGGGACTGCTGTAGACCACATGATTTTGGAACTAGACCCTTTGTAAGCTTACGGACTAAGTAAAGAGAGACCGGTAAGGATTTAACGATCAGAATTGTTTTTCACTAGCATTGAGGCTGAATTGCAGAGGACAGAAGCGGACATGGGACAGCACAGGTTATTTTGCAGTACTTACATATTGATCCTGCACGGTCTATAAGCGGCTTGTCTTGCTTGCTTTAAATTCGTCGAAAGGTTCGTGTACTTGTCTCTTTCCATTCTAGGCGAATCAACTAAATTCTAGTCTCCGAGCGAATGCAGAAGCCTCGAGAAACCAGTCAGTAGAAGCGACGTCTCGCGTCTCCGAGTTGGAGTTACGAACTATACAATTGGAGGAGGAGTTGAAACAGGCTCGAACTGATCTTCAGGGGAGTCTTAGAGAAAACCAAGTGAGCTAGGTGGTGTTCACCTTACTGTGCAATGCTGGTAATGTTCTGGTGTCGAATTCCATATCGATGGATTCTTGTAGCTCAACATTTCTTGCCGTGGTTTAGTATCATTTGCCTTGCCAATATCCAAAACTGCATCTTTGGGATTTGAGACAACTATGATTGCTCCAACAACCTCACCAATAATAACTACTTTATTTCAAAACTTAGCTTTGCTTACTTGTGTTTGCTTGAATGTTTTCTGGAGGCTTAAAATTGAGGTGAAAACAAACAACTTGCCTCTTGTCGTTAATGTGAGGTCAAAGGCCGTGGTTGCGTCTTAGGCCTGAGAACGACTGGAATTGCCTACGATTGTAGAGAAGATTTTTATTATTCAAATTCCTGGATGTTTCCACTTCTGAGGTTACTCTTGCTAGCCTCCTGCAGAACACATCTATCTTGGGCTTGGTTGACTGAGGCCGCATTGGCTGCTACTTAAATTTGCGCACAATCCTTTAGAAGTTCTCCATCGTACATTGACATAAAATGCAGGCGTTTTTCGCTCCTTAACATGAGATACTATCCCACTTTTGTTCACACTGGCCTTTATGTGATTTTTCTACAAAGAGGTTAAACGCGGACTCATCTCTAGTATTCCTTGTCATTGTTCAGATTCTAATGGAGGAAATGCGGCGTTTACGAGAACATCACGAAAAGGCCTCCGAATCAACTGATTTGGGTAAGTAGTAGTTAATTTCTGGTACTCTGATGTTTGCTTTTGCTCACTGCAGAAGCAGGAGATCGCCTGGATCAACTTCAACCCTTCTTTGGCATGCCTTCTGAACCGGTAAAATCTAACATCAGGTAGTTACTCATGTACTGCTGGAATCGCTTTGGTCTGTTTCTTTATACTGTGCGTTCCTTACTTGGTAGTGATCAGGAGGCTGTGAACGGTGCTATTTATGAGGTGGAGCAGCGCTACCGCGGGTATCTCGCTAAGGCACTGGAGGTGAGAAGCCGTCGCTGTTTTACTGTCCTCTTTAATTGATCGTGTTCCAAATTGAATCGTGTGTCAGAAGTATTTTTCACAGCATTCCTCGAGTTGTCTTACCAAACTTGCCACGTAACATGAATCTTGCGTCGAGCTGAAGTAGCCGACAATTCGCTGCATTGTGTAGCCACCTCGCATTGGTACTTAGACCTAGTCTGTCTTAACGAATCCTTGGGTGACGGAATTGTTATTGTTAGGCTTCTAAAGGTGTAGCGAAAATTACTAATGAGTGGAATTGATCACCATAAAGAAATTAGGATGAATTGCCTTATTCGAGCGCAGAGTTTTATCAATCTCCTGACGACATGTAAGATCTGTTTAATACTCTTTGGACTAGCCTAAGCAACAGAGAGGGTGTGGAAAGAAAGGTTATGAAGTTTTAACTTTGAATGGTGCTCCACAGAGAAGACCTGGATGTCTCGTTCCTTTCATTGAGGCTATTATTTACTGTTGGAAAGGTGAGTTCATTATGAAGCAGCCATCCCCTAGAAGGTATTGGTATGTGGAAACACTTACTTTCCCCAATGTAAATTTAAACAGTTTGAGGCGGTTCATGTAACCAAGAGAACGGGGTCTCATCTGGAGCGACAGTGAAAACGCATTTGCCCGGTGGGACTTTACATAGGCAAGCTGTGAAGGCATAATCCCAATAGCATTTTGTAGTAGTCCTTCATCGTTATTAAATTGGCTTCGGCTTTAATTGTTCTGTTATTGCGATATCATTGCGTCCAGGTTCATTACCAATAGCATCTTTTCAACGGATATTAAATTTGCTACTGGTCATATGTGTTGCCCCCATGGAATGGGTTCTATTGTCTTTAACCCGTTCCCTCTCTCCAATGCAATTCATACTCTTCCATTCAGTTTTTAAGTACGCGTCAATCCAGTTTCCTTCCTCCTTCTCCGTGCAGGTCATTCGACAGCTGAATCGTCGAGCCGTTGCTGCAGAGACGGCGGCGGTTAATCAAAACTGCGATCAAGCACCCGATTCTGAGGTTTCTCGTTTGCAGGCGCTGTTGGCAGAGAAGGAGAACATCATTGAACAGTTGGAGGTGATGATCCATTGTATGAGTCAGTGCATTTTAAGTTTCCATTGAAGGGAGGATTTTAAGTAGTCTCTGCTCCTACGCAGTAAATCATGCTCCCCCAAGCTCCGTCGATTTATGTGGATTTATCTTGTCATGACTAATCTGATAGATAGATAGAAAGTCTAGTGCGTTGAGTCCATATCAGGCTTCAAACGTGGAGAATAGAGAAAGTCGGAAGGAAGGTTTGAATTGGGCCAAACTGAAGCAATCCGGGGAGAAACGATGAGGTAAGGGTGGGTTGATGTCCATGAGCTCGAGGGTGTTTACGGCAAAGATAGAAGTGGTTTAAAAACGTTCGCCACCACAATTAATGTAGCTACGTTGTTTCTTTCATCATGTCCAGTCACCACACATGCACGGCATTTGTTGTGCTCTTAAAAACAAGTTTTGGGGGCTGGAAATGGTGATTAGTTCGTGCTTATATGCTTTGTTGGTTTATTTTCTGGCGGCAGCTCTGCTAGGCTATGCGTAGTCGCTAAGGCAACATTCATGCTATTAAATGATCAGGCTTTTTTGGCATTGCAAGGGAAGAGAGCCAACTGGTGAGCAGGGCCTAAGTGCACCCTTTCTATTCGCCCTTGCGAGCACTTATAAATTTTCCGTGCTCCTCATTTAAATGGGAGTTTTGTCACTTTGTCCGTATTTAAGCCATTACTTGGAGTGAGTATGTTATTCAAAGTGGCGGATGATTGTGTTGAGTGTTCGTTCGTTTCCAATCCATGGTACACATTTGTCAAGACTCCTGCAATAGATTTGCGTTGAAGTTTTTTGGCCGTCACTGAATGTCTCATCAGCTTGCCTTATTGAGCTTGAAGACCTCCTTGGTTGCGGATGCAAAAGTTGACTTTTAAGTTCCTTGGCGGCGTTTTTACTTTTTTTTTCTTTTTTCCTGTGCTTCCAAACGCAAAATTTTCACGTCATGTGATGTCATGAGCAGAAGAGCTTGTTTTGAAGGAAATAACTGGGTGATAATAATTCTCTGTTCGGGTCTGTTTTCGACGCAACTACTACCAGCGTCACCACGAGCAGGCGCGGAGGCAGCGGGACCTTGAGGACCGCATGGTGCTGACTGCTTGGTATCATTTGGGGATGAGGGTAAATCGTGCTCATACGGATCGTCTGTTGCGGGAGGAGGTCTCGGGTGGAGATGATGCATCTACCGTCGCTACCAACAACAACACTGCCTTTCTTTCGCAGCAACGTCGGATTCATCTGCAGCCATCCAATCGCGGAGTTAAGCCCTCAACTGGACCATTGCTTTGATCTTCGATCGTGTAATTGCATCTCCCTTCTTTTCTGTGTGTACAGTAGTCTGCCGGATTGGCCTCACCCACTTTTATTTGAACATCTATTATACCCTTCCTTCCTCCCACCTATTTACTAACACTAATGTGATTTTTTACTAATGCAGCATAGAGATTCGGTTGCTGTTATTCGTTTGGGCCGTCAGGGCATTTACATTGAGCAGACTCAGTGGTGACCGGGGAGGACTACCTCGAACAAACTAGAAACTGGACGAAACAGATTTGTAACTGTTGAGGAGATCGAGGTCGATGCGTATGTGTAACTGAGGTTGAGTAGCGATGTCGCAAGACTGACACGTGTCACTGCAGTTGCATTTTCGTGAAATGGGTGTGATTCCAGCCGGTAATTTCTGTGGGTCATTGCTCGTCAGTGGTGTGCTGTTTCAGTAGTTTCACAACGCTCACATCGTAGAGTGTTCCTTCGGATGACTATTTTGTGATAGAGGAGGACTAAATCAGGATTCTTGTTCTGTTTTGGTGCGTCCTGCTTGATTGTACTACTACTACTACTACTCCTTGCAATAGTGGTTATATTTTGGCTTTACCGCAATGTAGTCTGGATAGTTGGATAACGGAGGTATAGGGACATAAAGGATTTTCATCGGGTGGAGTATCCAGTAAAACCTCTTGCTCTGGCCACGCCTACAAATGATCTGTTGGATTGTGTCGGTAAGTGGTTACACCGCCACCTCTCCGCTCTGCCAAGCCATTCGCAGCTGGACTACGTGAATTCCTCTCGATCACTTCGTAAAAAGGTTATAAGGAGGATAAAATTAAATCGCATTCGTTGTCCATTACTCGATGTATTGCAAATCGCAGCGATAAATAGGAAGCTCGTGCTTCAGGCTTAAATTTTTTGACTGTCGCTATTGTTTGCGGCCACTTACTCGGTCATATTGCTTCTGCCAGGTGGACTAGCCACTGAGCCTCGCCAAAAGTCCAATGCGCTAAGCAAATTTTTTCACTCCAGTATTATAGCGTCTATAATCTACAAATAAGTCTTAGAAAGCTACACAGATAATATTTTGTTGGTACGACTCAGTAAGAGTGGCATTCACTTTGGAGAGTATTTTATTTAACTCAGATGTGTTGGTCCACCAGCCAAGCCTATTGTCCCTTCTCCTTCCTTTCCGTCTGAATATGTGTATTCGACCGAGTAATATACTTTTTAGCACAAATTGTATAATATTTTGTTCATATGACCGCAAGATGTCTGGCGTGGGCTAGCCTTCGGGCCAAGCCGAAATCCTATCCCCTCTTCTCCTCTAAGAGCACATTTATTCCGCCCAATGTGGTGTCTTCTTCTACCTGGTGCGAAGTCTCGAGGCACTACAGATATGTTTTGAATCAGTGCCCAGGACATAAATGATGGTTAATCGAATTGTCGGGCCCTGATTTAAGCAGAAGGGATGGAAGTGGAGATGTGGTGTGGCCACATGGTAAAAAACAAGGTGGTTTTTAAAGCGATCACCACTAGTACATGGATTCAAAAACAAAAGGTTTTGCACCCAAATCCTATTTTTTGGTTTAATTGTAACGTCGAAGTCAAAGGGCTCTTTAAAGTTTCACCTGTGTGAATGGCTAGTGCGGCTGGCTGGTAAGAATTTTCGCGTGGCGCAAGCTACGTCATGAAGGCTGACGCAGGAGATCTACAAGTGGAAAGACACGAATGTCTATTAAAAGAAGGGAGGGTATGTGCAACACTCAGGTTGTTCGAGTGCCTGGTCGAGTGGCGGTCGATGTAGTACCCATATCGCACCTCCTTAGTCAATTTATTTTAAAGCCATACCGGAAGACCCACTTGAATATACGCACACAATTTTAGCATTGTGCTTTTCACTACCAAATGGAAGGTTTTTGAACACTATAGATCGTTTCCTTATATAAATGGTTGGAAAATACCGATTGGCACAGAAAAATGACTACGCAAAATTTGTGGGAAAAAACAGATGCTTTAAGCAAATGATCCAAAACAATATTGAATTTCAAGTCTCAAATCTATTGCATGCCTTGTTCATTCGACTGTCGGTACTACCGCTGTTCGCTTTGGGGTTGGCCAAAATCTACTAAACATCTATCCTTCTCTTCCCGGTTAATGCCTTCTTCCACCAAATGGAAAGCGTCGTGATGCTATACTGGTGGCAGCAAAAATCAGTCCTGGCCATCTTACAGCTTCTACTCTGCTACCCACTGCCTGTGGCATATTTCTGCGATGCCTTAAAACCGTTCAGGACAACTGTAACTCTCGATCAAGTTGAACATATTAAGAGAGTGGAGTAGGTTTCATCAATCTCACGGAAGATGACAATTGGCGCAAATAGCTTGAGCATTTTCTTACATCCCCAAATGGGCTGTGATATCCAACGCTAAAATGTGCCGAAGAGAGAAGCTGAGATAGTCGCCAAAATGAGGGGAGACGCGGTAAGGTGTCTCGTTTGTCCAACTGCCTGCATGGCAGACAATAACTTTGATATTAATCTTGCTATCCTATGCATGGGATCTGCTTTAGACCATACCAAATTTAAACCTTTTGCCATTGATGTGGTCGCGACACAATGCTGCAGCGTTCCAAGACTACTTGTAAGAAGAAAAGGTAGTAAGCTTGACTAAAACACATGCATTTAAGAGGAAAATAAAAGATTTAAGTGTTAGTTTGGTGCGAAGGTCAGTTTCAGCATACAGGTGTACGATAATTACCAAAACATCCACTATATATATGGGAGTTCGTCCAAACAAAGCAATCCAATTGCACTCCAGCTCTAAATCCAGCAGCTCAGATCTCTGGTTTAGTTCGCTCAAAAAACTCACAAGATTAATCTTAACTTGTCCTAATTTCTAGTATATTTTTGTGTTTTAACATCATTTTTTTATAAAATAACCTCCGTCAAATTGTAATTTTGTGTTTGTTTTAATCTTCCGGTTATGCAGCACTGCCTTTGGAAAGGTCGAATTCGTCCATAAAAGCCTAAGTGGACAATGATCGTTGCTTCGCGATGCATGCGCATTTTTGGGTCGTGGTTTTTATTTTTTCAGTATCAATAGTCAATAAATGTCACTTGGAAACTGATGGTAAATGTTCTTTTTGCGATCATCGGCTAGGTCTAGGTTGACAGTGGTTTTACTCTAACAATAAAATTTGATTTTTTGATAAATTACAGTTGTTATCAATTCTATCGTAGCCACACTTATGAATTTGCATCGAAATGCTCTTCTTTGCATAGATGATTTGCGTTTTTGCAGTCATGGGGCTCTCTGTACGCATACATTTGAATGCATTAGAGATTGTTTCAAATTATTGGTCTCAAACTAGTAGGGCAACGCACGTAATAACGGAGGGGTCTTGTTCTTCCTAGGTTTCACTACAGATTTTGGATCTACCGAAACTACTACGTAAGTTCTTTTTTTTTCGATGCACCGTAGAATCATCCAACAATCTGTTTTCTTTTGAGCAATTTTTACATAAAGTTACTTGTGGTGAAAATTCTTCAGGCGTACCGAAGACAGATCTCGAGGTTATGGAATTTTTTCGCCATGTTTAGCAATATTATGGAGAAAGCGAGAAGCACCTAATGGCCGATAAAACGCGTTATTTAGGCTTAGATGTTTTAAGTAAAAAACTTCATCATGCGGTTTGTAACGAGGAGTAATTCCATTTTTTTGCCACTCCAGGGAATAAAATGGCAACGTAACGGTAGTCAGGTCATCAATGTTTGTGACCAAATCACTACACGTTTTGTTAGTCATACTTTTTTCTAAAGAGCACAATTATTTGTTCCGTTGTGGCGCTGCCACTTTCATTAAGGTCTATTATGGCACAAGCGTCGACACAAAGGCGACAACATTAAAAGTGGTTACTCCTGTGTGGGATGACCAGTCAATAAATCTGAAAATAGAAACATATGTGGGTGTGGATTGGCGCTTGCATGTGTAAATTCACACACCTATGCCTCGAGAGGTTGTGCCAACGAAGAATGCTTCAGCCTAACGCGCGCTTAGTCGGAAGACGTAAGCTGACCGTCCACTTGTCATCGACGTTGGTGTTTAGTCATATTTTTAAAAGCATCAAGGAGTGTAGACTTTTAGGTAATTTGAGTTGCTGCCAGAAGTGGATGCATAAAAGCTTTCGATAAATCCGAGAGCAAAATGATAATGGCGATAATGACCTGATTCCTTCACTGTTATGAGCTAGACAGTGAGTCGCTTTGCGGTGTAATTAGCTCTGATTATGATGAATTGTCATTTCACATGCATCCATCATAGGATACACAGCTCCCACTTGGTCTGTCGGTCAGCCTGTCTGTCTGCAGGACGCCAATTCAAATAGATTCGAAAGTAGCGAAGAGGTCATAAGAGGTGCCTTAAGTGTTTCGATAATGAGAAAGAGGTTAGCATTGGCTGTTGCATCTGTTTCAAGTTCGTGCCTGTCTTTCGCTAATTCCATCAGTACTTCCTTCATAACTACCTTTTTTCCTAATCGATGGAATATCCCTTGTGGTAGTGGAGGGATGAACAGTCCAAAATTCCACTATGAGCAAGTGAACTCAAAGTGCGTTGTCTTACGACACTCTGGCTAGCATAGTCGCGGACCTCGTAATAAGTATCTCTTTAGCAGTCAGCAGGGGTGTTAGAATGAATAGAAAGGGGGACGTGGCGTGACTGTTAAGTGAGCAGGCATTTTCTAGCTCTAACTTTGGCGAAGACAGACGTAAGTGTATCGAAAGCGCCACTTTCCTGTGCTCTCAAGGGCTCTACAACACCACTTGCTTCGTCAAGTGTTGTGAAGATCGCAGAGCAACGGCCCATTTGCATCTGTACTTTACTAAGAAATAGCGCTGTCAAGGAGGCACTACCAATACCGAGATATTGTGTGGTAAATTGGGTTGCAGTTTTTCGCAATGTAGAAGAGGCATAGCTAAAGGCAAAAGGTAGGAAAGAAATTTCATTTCTAAACCCTTGAAATAATACTTGATCGATCGTAACGCCTTCTTAGGTCTACTGCTTCTGGATATAATTAGAGATGCAACACTGCTGCCTTTTTTCGTTGTATGAAATGAAGTTATGTTCATAAGAGACTGAGCATCATTTGCACAAAACTTTCATGCACCTTCTGCTTTGCAGCTCCAGCCCTGCAACGAAGCCCCAAGGTTTGTGCCACACACTTCTAATCAACAAATCGCAAGAGCTAACAAGATTCCGCTAATGCAAAGTAGCAAAAACATCACTTTTGCTTCTAATCATTGTGTTCACAGAGTGCAAGATACTACGTACGTATTGCTCTGATGCGTGCCTTTTTCAGCGTGGCCACATTGGATGCTTCGCGGTATCTACCCGCGACAGTTCCACCTCTACTCATAGAGGTTGACAATGATAATCACACATGGAGGTGGCGAACTGAAAGTTAGCCGATAATCAGATTGGTAGGTCGGTCAGCCAGATGTAGTCGTGCAATTTTCTTAGAGCGGCATCGTTTTTGAGTTTCTGCTGCCACACATTATCGGTGCTAAATAGCAGCGTCAGCGAATTTGAACGTCAGATAAGGCCAAGTGCTCAAAGAAAGGATGAAAACGAGTGAATGCAAAAGTCACAATTTATTCAAAGAGGGGAAGTGCACTGCAAGAACAATCTACATCCACACCTGAATGGCTTTATTGTCTTCCAACACTGCCTCACTAAAATTACAAATGAGCACTCCATTTGGCTTGATAAGTGCTGCTTTATTCACACTTTTGATCATCACTCACGGCTGAACGCCCTAACGCTTCCTTTTCGTAGAAATATTGTTTATCATAACCATCCATTAGAGGACCAATTGTTGAGCATGTATTATTACATGGGCTACGGACATTCCAAAAAACTTGAGAAACGACGCTGATGAGCGTATGTAGCAAAAATGAGGTGTACATAGGCCAAAAAATTGCGTTAAGTAGTCTCAAATGTCGAATGCAATGTCGTGGGTAGTTGGGGTTTGAGTTTGCTTGAAGGCGACGTTGACGCGACACCAGGGGTCAGTGGTTTCTGTCAATGGAATGATTTGCGTAGCAGCGATAGTGCAAGGCATGAGACACTGTCTTGTACAGATCGGCTGATGAGGAGCGTGGAAGTAAGCGAAGATATCTGTGGATTGTGATCGTCGCTCTGCTTTTTGGCAGCAAGCAAGTTTAAATTGATTGCGGAAGGTCGCATTGCAGTGACGATGAAGTTGGTGGAACGAAGTGACAAGAATGAAATGGAGCTGGTCACTACACGTATCGCAGTATCAGAAGAGGCACATTGAGAAGTGAACATGGTGACGTAGGGCACAAGTGGTGATGGTCTCTTACCACGCATTCCTCACATTGTGCGTGTATTCGATCGCGTCACTCGATAACAGCAACCATCATATCCGCATCACACGCGGGCACTCAAACTGCGTCAAGTTGTGGTCTCGATTTGGTTCTGTGGGAGAGGACAACTTTTCTTACACTGATTGCGGTAAGCGTAAATTGATGCTTTAAAATCCGTTGGTTTGACCATGAAGCAGTATGAAGTCTCGTAGCTTTTCGGAGCGTTGTGCGAGCATATTGTAAACATCGTGAAATCCCTCCCCTGTTGTTGTGCCATTATCGGTGTTCCGCTCTGTTGTGCTTTTATAGAGAGCAAAGAGTACTCTGTGAAAGAACAATTTGATGCTCTAGGTGTGCGAAAGATTTATTAAAGTGTGTAATTGTAGGCCAATGGTGCGGTTTGACTGCATGAAGTGAAGTAAGGCGAATCGCTAGAGCCGGAATTGCACTGCGTTATACGGTTTTGGGGATTGGGGTGGGTTTCATCGGAGTGTAGCACATGGGATGGCATGATTAGACGCACAGACATAGCATGTCACTGCTACTCACATTTGTTCTTTCAGCTCCAAGCAAGGTTGAATTGGTTGCAACAAATCATACCGCCGTGAAAGTGAAGTGGGACGCATCGAGTGCCAATGATACAAATAATGTGTTCTCTGCATACATCGCAGGATCAAAAGGCAAACGGTGCACCGCAGATAACGAAAACAGCGAATGTACAATTACCGATCTTTTACCACGCATCTCCTACATCGTGTGCGTTCAATCCTGTCACCTGGAAACGGAGACCACGATGAATGCGTCACCGCCTTCCACAGAACCTCAGTTACTACTAAGTGCTAGTTTCTTTGGGGTCGGTGGAACCGACGAAAGTGGCAGACACAGTTGTAGTACTGTCATTTGTGATACAGTGACACTTCCTGTAGAAGGTAAGAAATTTTCACGCATTTTCATACGCGCATGTGATTTACAGTGACCGTGGTACAGAGGCAGATTGCAAGGGTATTTGCCTGTGAATTTGCTTTAAGCTAAAGTTATTTCAACGCAATTTTTCTTATTTAGTTAAACTTTGACGGTGAAGTCGTAAGGCGTATTAGTTATTACGATTTGGTCGAAGGTTGTGTGGGGGCATTGTATGCATCGTGCAGTGGCCGTCCTGTCTTCCTTATCTTTGTTGTGCTTTGACTGGGTCAGCAAGTTGGCTCCAAGGAGAACGAATTTGATAGTGTAAACGTGGGATGCAATTATAGTCACGTGCTTCAAGTCATTAACTTCTGTCATGTCATATCGCTGCATGTGTTTATCCACAATGTGATGGTGTATTGCCAGGTAGGATTTTTGCTAGCCCACAAAGCTGCGGTGATGCTTGTTGAACGTATGCCATGGTTCGGTGACTTTGGTGTGAGGAATCGAAGTTAAAGGCACTTTTCTGGAACTGAGAGGCCATGGTGTAACCAGAATGCATAAGTGCAATCACCACAAATTACGTTCAAGTTGTGCCCTTTTGTTCAAATGTCGCATTGAAAGATGCAGCTGGCTAGCCAGTTATGGTAATGTATCATCTGATACGCAGGGACCTCGTTACGAGTGTTTATCCAAAAAGGATGTGGCCTTACAGAGTAGCAAACATGCTCATTGGTCTCATGGGAAGTAGAGTCATGGTTTAACACCAACGAAATAGATGCGTGATTCACCTTTGAAAGGCTCACACCCTCACAGGATGGAGGTTATGGACAGTGCAAATGCTAAAATGCCCAAACAAACATTTAGACTTCTGGTGTCCGTTAGAGGGTAGTGATTCGTGAAAAAATATGGGGGGTTTTTACACAAATTTGAGAAATAAAAAGTCAAGTGATGCATAAAGTGAGTGACTGAAGTAAATGCGTAGTATGGGGATAATTGTTGAAAATTAACTACAATGAATGGGAATGGCACATTGAATGGGCAATGTCAGTCGTACGATTGGAAGCGGGAATT